CCACCCCTCCCCTACAAAGTCTGCTGGGTTGGGGGAAGGAGGGAAGTGGCGGGGAGCTTCGTCTCTACCAGGGAGGCCTTGCGAATCCCGGGTGAGCAGGGGCACCAAGGCGCAAGGGCTACCTTCTCCCTTCCCCCAGGAAACTCTTGTTGCCTTCCTTCCCCCCAAAATCCAAGGCAGGTGTCCTCCCCCCGCCCCAGTCAGGAGGTTGCAGCCAGGGGGCTGGGAGGCCAGAGTGGCTGCGTGGCCTTGGACAAGTCATTTCCCCTTGCTAGGCTTCAGTTGTCATGTCTGTCCCAGGGGGACAATCATGCCATGGTGCCGTTCTCCCAGGGCAGCTGTGGGGGCTCAGAGCATGGCCGGGATGAGCACTTCACCCCAGCACCCTGTAGGCACACGGAGGGCCCCACAGAGCGTGGTCATGGGGTAGGGGCCCCTGGTCTGCCCGTTCGTGTCCAGCCCCGTGCCTGGCACATGGAGGCTGTCAATGCTCATGCTGTGAATGAATGAGGGGTCCCCTGGGACTGGGTGCCCGTGGTTAGCCTGGAGAAGGGACTTCCGGAAGATCGGCTAACGGGTTGCCAGCGGCAGCACAGTGGTGACAAGACACCAGAGGAGGCAGCTCCTGGGCACACGTGGGTCGAGTCTGTGAGGACTGGCAGCAGGTACAGGCAGGGGAAGGCACTTGGACTAGGTGTCTGTGGTGTGTCAGGGAACCCTGGAGAAAGCAGCAAGCCTTACCAAGTCCCAAGAAACAGTGAAGTTGTGGGGAGGCCCAAGTCCAGAGCCAGATGTCCAGGTTTGACCTTGACCCTGTTTCTAACTGGCTGTGTGGTCCCAAGAGAGCAGCTTCCCATCTCTGTGCCCGCAGACTGGTGTCCACGGAGATGCCCCAGACTCGGGAGTGGCTGTGGGATGACGGATCCTACATCCCCACTCCAATACCTACACGCAAAGGGGTTTTCAAAATTTCGTGGAAACGGAATCAAATGATAAGCTTATTTGATGCCAAAAATTAAAATCTATGCAGTTTTTTCATAATATTCATTTTCCACCCTCATTTTGAATGCCCTTGGTATGCATGGATTTCAAAACTTTTTGCACCGAAATCTACTTATCTTTCATTCCACTTTGCCTGAACTTTGCAGAGTCCCCTTGTACACTTATTCTAGAACAGAGCTCTGCAGTGGGTGCGGAGTGAGGGCGGTGTGAGTGTCAGCAGGCGCCCCCGCCCCTTCCAGCCTGATCCGCTGTCTCTAATTAACCTTCACGGTGATCCTGGAAGAGGGGTTGCTACTGTTCCCACTTGGTTGCTGAGGCTCAGCCAGAGCCCGTGGTGTGCCCAGGGCCACCCGTCTTGAGAGCGGCAGCCCCAGAAGTTGCGTCCAGCTCTGCTCGCTCTGCAGCTAGCCCCTGTGTGGCACATAGGATTCCTCTGAGAAGACATTGCCATGCCTCCATTTCCCAGCCCAGCCCAGAGAGGGCAAGAGCCAGACGGATGGCCACAGAACTGTCCAGTGGCAGAATTCAGTGTGGCTCCACAGCCCGCCGCAGTGTGCTTACTTCCTGTCCACCACACCTAACCACGGGTTCCACCCCAGGCCAGAGCGGGCCATCTGGGGTAGAGCAAGGAGCTGCCTGTTCCTGGCCACAGGGTAGCCTGATGCTGAGGTTCAAGGTTAGACAGATGACCTTCCTGCTATCTTGCAACACTGAGGTTGGATAAGTAGGTGAGCTGATGGATGAAGAAGCCTTGAAGAAGGTAAAAATTGGACACATGTGTGAGACAGGTGAGCCGGCACCTGCAGCTGTTCTTGTCATTACCAGCTGGGCCCAGAAGAGCTCAGATTCTTGGGGAGGGGGTGGCAGGAATGTCGTCCAGATCACTTTTTGTCATCTATCTCTACTGTGCGGGCTCTCTCTCTGTCCCCCTCCCCCACCCTCCCCCTCCTTTGAGAAAATGAATCATACTGCACCCTCCACCCCAGAGGCACTTAAGAAGGATGAGTAATTAATCCCCCCAGGCCCCGACTGTCTTATCTGCTCTTCTGAGATTTGGTTACTTTTGGCCCGAGAATACTCAAAGATGCGATACCCAGCCCCAGCGTTAAGTGACTGAGCTGACCCCCCTCTCCAGGCGCCTGCAGAAGAATGCTACACTGTAACACTGTTTCCCTAAAGGAGTCAGTAGAGCAGGGTGATGGATGGCGTCAGCTCGCTCGCTGTGTCCACGTAAGAGACCCCGGGCAGAAACAGATAAAGATTATTTGCTCATCCACGTCAGGCAGCCGGCATCGATCTTCTCGGGAATTGAGTTAAAACCGCTCCCAAGGCGTTTTAGAGAAGGGTTCTGATAGAAAAGGTGGAATAAGAGATAATAAAGGAAAGATGTGCTGGGCTGAGAGGTTCTGAGAGACGCCAGGAGCCGGCGGAGGCTGCAGGTGTGCCTGGCTGTCACCGTGGTAAATTAGGCACCCGTGCATCGGTTCTTCCTTTGTCCCATTTGCACCGAGGGCGTCACTCTCTCTATGTCTGGGGGTTAAAAGGGCGAGGAGCACGCTCCAGCCTTCCCGGGCAGTGGTGTTGGGTCCAGGCAGAGAAAGGAAGCAAGAGGGGGGCTGCCCAGAGCCGTGCGGGGGCCTCGTGTGGTTCCAGCTTGGGAAACGCAAGCCTGAGCAGGTGGAAGGCTCGCCCCTGCCTGCCATCTGTCGAGGAAGGGTCCGCCCCGAGCCACCTGGCTTCCTGCAGGGAGATAGCATCTGGGAGGCAGAGCGCGCCTCTGCCACACGAGGCTCCGCTGGCACCGGCATGATTTATTCAGCAGCCTGAGACACCTGTGCGCTGGGCAGGTGCCGGCCTTGGTCACTCTCCAGCACCACCGGCCAGCGCAGAGGGAGGAGGCGCCCCGATCTTTAGCTGAGAGCCCCAGGCTTGGGGGATGTGTGGGGCTCACCCAGCAGCAGGCGCTGCCCCCAGGCAAGGGGGTGCCAGCATCAGCCTCAAGGCCCCCAGTGCCCTGGGCCCCAACCCCAGGACTTCCCTGCCGAGGCTGGCCAAGAGGCCCCCGCTTTGTGCAGCCTCCCCCCAGCAGTGCCAGGCGGAACTCACTGCCACCGCCACCCCTGCCCTCTCTCTGCCTGCCAAAGAGGGGCTGTGTGTATGGAAACACAAACTAGGATGTGGTGAAGACCCGAGTCCTGGGATTCGCCACTGCACAAGACCAGCCGCATTCACGCCAAGGCTGCTTACAAGCAACTTCTCTCAGGGGCCTCGGTGCATGGAGGCAGGTGCCGGACAGCCCCGGGAGGGGAGGGTCGTCCGTGGACGCGGCTGAACAGAGGCCCCTCTATTACAGCCATGCTGGCAGTTTTTAACGCTGCGCATTTCATGGTAATTTTGCTTAAAAATTGTTTCTATCTGGCCGGTGTGGTGATGCAGCAGGTTAAGCCACCACCTGAGACGCCGGCATCCCGTATGAGCACAGGTTCCTGTCCCAGCTGCTCTGCTTCCGATCCAGCTTCTGGCTAATGCATCTGGGAAAGCAGTGGAAGACGGCCCAAGTGCTTGGGCCCCTGCACCCACAAGGGAGACCCAGAAGGAGCTCAGGGCTCCTGGCTTTGGCCTGGTCCAGCCCTGGCTGTTGTGGTCATTTGGGGAGTGAACCAGCAGATGAAAGCTCTCTCTCTCTCTGTCTCCTTTTGTCTCTCCCTCTCTCTCCATCCCTCTGCCTTTCAAATAAAATAAATAAATTAAATCTTTTTTTTTTTTTACAATTGTTTTTATCTGGCTGAAGGTCATTGTGACCCAGGAACCCATGGTTGGTCAGCACGAAGACCAACCACCTGATGCTGCTGGTGTCAGGCACAGTTTTAATTTTCACCAGGGACAGGAAAACACAGCCTGTCCCGTCCTCTTTGGGCCTCGGCTAACTACAGTTGGGTCCCTCCCCAGCCCAGCTGGGCCTGTCAGTCTCCATAGCAACCTTTCTGTTTACATCAGGGCCTGGGCTCAGTAAGCTTATGAAGGGGGTATCAATGTAATTCCCACTGTGCGGGTGAGAAAACTGAGGTTCAGTGAGTCCCAGGGCTGGACTGACGGTTCCACCAGCAGGAAGCGCTGGGGCAGGATCACACCGAGACCGTGAGTCCCGTCCCCCCACCCCGGGCATGGGGGGCATCACTCTTAGGCTTGACTGCTTCTCCGGGAAGTGGGGCTCCTCCTCCACTGCCAGGACCTTGGCTGGGAGGGCTCTGGTCTTGGGAAGCCAATAGGGGGAGGGTGAGCCCTGGATGGTAGCAAGGCTTATGCAAGGCCCCGGGGCAACTGGGCGGGGATGAACCTGCATGGGGCTTCCTGGATGGCTGCTCCCCACGGCTGCAGGTTGCCATCTTTCACAGGGGCGGAGATCGGGGGTCGGGGGAGGGAGGCGATGGGCTGCGCATGCGCACGTGGGCGCAGGCTTTACCTGTGCTTTGTTTCCCAGATTCTGAAGTTCCAACACTTGTTTTGTGTTTATGACACGGAAGAAAAACGACAAGGCCCGCAGGGAAAACGAGGAAGAGAGAAACCAGCAGCGATTCCGGGGGCTTGTCAGGCGAGAGGGCGAGAAGCAGCAGACCTGGGGCCTGGGGCGGGGCCGAGAGGTGCAGGGTCCCGGACACGGGGCAGGGGACAGGGGCACTCCCTCCTGGCGACAAAGCCGGGCGGAGGGGATGCTCGGTGCTCGCCACTGTGCCGCACACCTCATGTCCTTTGTCGACCCCTCAACACCCTGTCTCACAGAGAGGGGACCAGGCTTTGGGTGACATGACCTGTGACAGCTGGGAGTTCTGCCTGCCTGCAGCGCCTTCCCCGTGCCCGTGCAGGCAGCCCACGCTCCCTGCACTGCCCGCTGCTGCGGCTCCGTCTCACCATCCATTGTCCTAGAGCTGCCCCTGCGCTCCTGGAACCGGCATTGGAGGGGCCGGGAAGGTCACCACTCCAAGCCATCGTTGGGTTTTTGAATTTTGCTTGTACTTATCCCCATGTTACTTGAAAGCAGAGTAATGGGGTAGCAGGGGTGGGGAGAGAGAGAAAGAGAGAGAGAGAGAGAAAGAGAGAGAGAGAGAGAGAGAGAGAGAGAGAATCTTGTATTCACCGATTCACCTCCCAAATGCCTGCAAGTCAGGAATGGGCCGCACTAATGTCAGGAGCCTGGAACTCCATCCTGGTCTCCTATGTGGGTACAGGGGCCCAAGCACTGGGGCCATCTTTGCCGCTTTCCCAGGCACATTAGCAGGGAACTGGATTGGAAGTGGAGATGCCAGGAATCGAACCGGCAGCCATATAGGATGCCGGCATTGGAGGTAACAGTTTAACCCACTGCACCACAGTGCCAGCCCCACCACTGGGCTTTTAGATGCTCTCTAAGGCATCTGGTCTCTGCTTGCACACACGGGGAGTTAGCTGGTCACCCCTGAGGATGCGGTCAGCGGCTTGACCCTTGTACCTGCCGTGATCCTCCGGGTCAGTGTTGTGTCTTCCCTTCCTGTCCATGTCCCACCTGGGTGAGCCCTGTGCTGGCCTCTCTGAGACCCACTCCAGGGTCAGCTTTCACAAAAAGTCCAACTATGGGGGCGAAGTTGTGTGAGTCTCTGGACGCACCATTTTTATTTAAGATTTTAGTTATTTATTTGAGAGGTAGAGTTACAGAGAGAGAGTGAGAGACAGAGAGAGAGAGATTTTCCATCCACTGGTTCACTCCCCAAATGGCCACAATGGCCAGAGCTGGACTAATCTGAAGCCAGGAGCCAGGAGCTTCTTCCAGGTCCCCCATGCAGGTGCAGGGGCCCAAGGACTTGGGGCATCTTTTACTGCTTTCCCAGGCCACAAGAAGAGAGCTGAATCAGAAGAGAAGCAGCCAGGACCTGAACGGGCGCCCATATGGGAATCCGGCAGTGTAGGCGGAGGCTTAGCCCACTATGCCACAGCACGGGCCCCATCTGCCCTTCTGTCTGGTGTTGAAATGATGGCTGGATGGGAGCAGCTGTCTTGGACTATGAGGATGAGCCCACACTCCAGGGGCTGTGAAACAGAAAGCTGGGAAAAGCCTGGGTCTCTGACCCCAACTCTCTCCTTTCCTCCAGAGTTCACCTACCTGGCTGAGAAATAGCTCTCTGCTTTAACCAACTCTCATTTTGTTTTGTTTTCTGGTGGCTTTTGGTTGAGCAGTCCTGATCCTAAGTGATGCTGTGTTGGATGGAAAGAGACGCAAGTGTCTAGAGAGAGTGAGATGGCCCCACTGCCATCAGAGAGGCAGAAGGTGTGGTGTCGGGTCTGGACCCAGGCTGTGGAACAAGACAGGTGCTGTTGGCCTTGTGGGTAAATTGAACCCCACCTGCTCATTCATTCATGCATTTCTCTTTCATTCATTCATTCATTCATTGTCTCATGGTTCCCACTGAAGATCGCTCCACGAGGAGCAGGCGTTCCGCCTGGCAGTTGGGATGCCCACATCCCACGTGGGGATGCCCGGCTTGGTACCCAGCCCCAGCTGCTGACTCTCCAGATGGGAGCTCTCTGCCGTCTGTCTCTGCCACATAAATAAACAAGGAGCTAAACACCATTCCCCGAAGCCGGTACCCACAGGCTGGGGTGCAGACCCAGCTGGGCAGGACAGCGGTTTGCAGTGTGAGCTCCACCAGGAGCCTGGAGCGTGGCCGCTGGGGCAGAGCAAGGCCTGCTCGTTCTCCTGCTGGGCGGCCACGCCCAGGACTGCAGGTGCATGCCGTTCCGGTAGGAGGAGCAGAGGGCCCCCCGCGTTCCCAGGGCCCCTCAATCTTCCTCCTGCAGGACAGCTAGGAGAGAGGTTTTTAAGCACAGTTGCACCATTTTATGCCATGAAAGGAGGTGGGTGTTAGAATGGCTCGCGTGTCCCGTAGCCTCTGGAAAACCTCTAAGATGTGATGTCTCCAACACACGGCTAAGAATGTTCTGGAAGAGAGGCAGAGACTCATGGGCCTGCTGCATTTGCTCCAAAGTCAAGTCAGGGTCCCCGGGGGATTGTGGGATTGGGGGGGGGTGGAGAGCAGGGAGAGCACAGCTTGTCTTGGGAGGCACAGGGACAGCCGGTGCTCCTGCCGCAAGGCTGCTGCGAAAGGCAGACTCGGGGACACAGGGGGACTCTCTTGGGGCCTGAGCTTGGTTCAGAACAAGCCCGTTTCCCTTCTGGGATCTGAGGGACCCGGACATGTTGGCAGGCCTGTGGCCAAAACAAAGCAGATCATCTAGGAGGGGGTGTGTAAAACCTCGTGGAAGAATAAAATGAGCTTTTTTGCAAAGCTGTTTGAGGAGCAGAGAGAGGGAGTTAGTTTCCATCCCCTAGTTCACTCCTCAAATGCCCATGGTAGCTGGGGCTGGGCCAGGTCAAAGCCAGGACCGGGGTCTCAGCCTGAGTCTCCTCTGTGGGGAGCGAGGCGCCGCTGCGTGCGTCACGGCCTGCGGGGTGCGCAGCAGCAGGAAGCCGTAGTCAGGAGCGGAGCCGCGACCGGCGTCCGTGCACACAGGGGACGGGGCCTCTCTGCCAGCCTCCTGATGGTGAGGCCAAATGCTTGTCCCTCAAGTTACCTGTTCATTCCATCGCCCCTGAACTTTTTTTTTTTTTTTTTACAGGCAGAGTTAGACAGTGAGAGAGAGAGACAGAAAGAAAGGTCCTCCTTCCGTTGGTTCACCCCCCAAATGGCCACTACAGCTGGTGCGCTGCACCGATCTGAAGCCAGGAGCCAGGTGCTTCTCCTGGTCTCCCATGGGGTGCAGGGCCCAAGCACTTGGGCCATCCTCCACTGCACTCCCGGGCCACAGCAGAGAGCTGGCCTGGAAGAGGAGCAACCGGGACAGAATCCGACGCCCCAACTGGGACTAGAGCCCAGGGTGCTGGCCGTTGGTGGAGGATTAGCCTAGTGAGCTGTGGTGCCAGCACGCCCCTGAACTTTTGCAACCTAAGAAACCATCCCGAATGTTGGTGACGTACAGTGTTTTGTGATTCCTCGAGACTGTGTGGAGTCCTCTGCTGGACAAAGCTCCTCTCCACACGGCCACGGCTGGGTGTGCAAGCAAGTGCTCTCAGCGGGTGCCTGAAGGTTCTAGAAGGGCGAGTCGGTCTTCCACGTGACTCATCGCGTGGTGTCTCAGCTCTGCAAGGCCCTCCACGCCACGCGGTGTCCCCCTGCAGTGGGACGGCCTGGGCTTCCTGGCTCGATTCTGGGGATGAAAGTGGAAGTTCTAAGCCTGTTGAGGGTCAGCCCAGCTGCACTGCCGCTGCGTTCTCTTGGTCGAAGCACGGTGCACAGCAGCTTCTTGATGGAGCAACCGCTGGTGGCTGCGTGCAGGTGAACTTGCACCGGAAGTTGACGGCATCGTGGAGCCCAGATAAGATGCTATTTACACACAGGTGACTTGCGCACAACTGAATGGAACGAGAGTGGATGCACACGGCGAGGGTCGCCATCCTCTGTGCGTGGCTTGAGCTGGGGTCCAGCTGGCCCTGGCTCTGCCCCACCGCGTATTCTCCTTCCAACAGCTCCACCGGCTGCAGAGTGCTAAAAAGGAGAACACACCACGGCTGCAATCATTAGCATCCTGGAACATTGGATTCTATTTTTGGCAGATGCAAGATAAGCTGGGCAAACTGCTACCCCTGCCCCCCCAGCTCAGCGCTCGGAGGTCGTGCACCCAGTGTTTCGTGTGTCATTAACAAGAGGGCTGCGTGCCCATCCGGGAGGAAGGAGGCTCCCTGTGCCCGGTGAGGACCAGCCTGCGCCTGGGGCGTGGGGCTCAGCGCCGGGCATGGGGGAAGGCAGCTGGCACGCACTGAGGGCCTATGGGGCACCAGGTGCTGTGTGCTAGACGTGTCCGGCTCCTGCTTCTTTTCCCAAGCCTCACCTTGCTTTCTACTCCTTCTCTCTGCTTCCGAGCAGAAATCCATAGTTCAGATTTCCCAATAGGCTACTCTGCCTCCCAGGCCTCTTCGGTCCTGTTTCCTTCCTCCCTGTTTGGTTGACTCTGTTTTGAAGACTTATTTATTTATTTATAAGGCAGAGTCGGGAGAGAGAATCTTCCATCGGCTGGTTCATTCCCTAGATAGCCGCAATGGCTGGGGGGTGCAGGGGCCCAAGCACTTGGGCCATCTTCCACAGCTTTCCCAGGCACATTAGCAGGCAGCTGGATCAGGAGTGGAGCAGCCGGGACTTGAACCTGCGCTCCTCTATGGCTTAAGGCGCTGTGCCACAACGCCAGCCATGCCTGGTTGATGCCAATGTATCTCTCCAATCTCGGGCTCTCTTGCCTTCCAGACCATAGGCTCTCCCAAGGAGGACCCCTCTTTCTGAGATATCGCTTGGCTCCAGCCCAGTGCTCTGTGTTTGTCGACTGACTGACTGACTGATGGAATGAATGATTGCTCACACAGCCCATCTGAGGCTCAGAGAGAATGAGCTTCTGCAATGCCAAGCCCTGGTGAGAGGCAGAGCCGGGATCTGAATCCGGGTCTGTTGCGTGGCCAGGGTTGTGCCCTTGAGGGCAGATGAGGGCGTGGATGATGGGGACAGGGAGGGGGAGACGTGCTGGAGGCAGGAGCCAGGGCCAAGGCACCACTCTGCCCCAGTGCTCGTGGGTGGAGGGGACCCCGGGGCTGGGCCGCCCGGTCCCACAGTGCGCGGCCGAGCTCGAGTCCGACCTCCCCGATGCTCCCAGGTGCCTGTTCTGTGAAGCGCAGGTGCCAAGCCAGCAGCCCAGGCAGCCGTCAGCCGTTGAGCCTGGTGCTAGACCCCAGGGTCTCGGTACCCTCTGCTCTCAAGGGAGGGGCCGGCTGCGGTGCGGTGGGCAAAGCTGCTGCCTGCGACGCCGGCATCCCATACGGGCGCTGGTCTGGATCCCAGCGGCTCCACTTCCGATCCAGCTGTTAATGGCCTGGGAAAAGCAGCAGAAGATGGCACAAGTACTTAGGCCCCTGTCACCTATGTGGGAGACCGGGAAGAAGCTCCTGGCTCCTGGCTTTAGCCTGGGCCATCCCTGGCTATTGTGGCCATCTGGAGAGTGAACCAGCGATGGAAGACCTCGCGCGCTCTCTCTCTCTCTCTCTCTCTCTCTCTCTCTCTCTCTCTCTCCCTCTCTTTGTAACTCTTTCAAATAAATAAATGACTCTTTAATAAATAAATACATAAATGGCCCAAGGAAGAGTCTGGGTCAGAACCAGGGGCCAGTACCCCCAGGGGGCAGCATGGCCGGCGGTGGCTTCCCCAGGGCCCAGGGAGCGCTCGCCTCAGAGGCCCACATCCCAGCTGAGACCCCCGGCTCCACCAGCTGTGCAGTGATCCTGAGCCGGTTACCCCGCCTCTCTGAGCCACAGTCTCCTTGTCTGGAAAATGGGGATAAGATGCTCTTCCCTGGCTTGCCGAGGACGTTGGATGATGAGTACGTGATCGCCTGTCGGACAAGCCTGCCTCCTGCTCCGGGCTGGCTAAGATGAGGCCAGAGGCCCCTCCTTCCATCGCCGCCCGACTGCTCCAGCCTCAGCCGCTCGCCCTCCCGCGTCACAGCTTGCGCTGCTGGGAGGTGGGGTGGAGAAGGCACCTGTGAAGTCCTGTCCAGAGGGAAAGGTGTGGCGTCTCCGTTTGGACCGCACCAAGGCCAAGGTCACGGCCACAAGGGCGCCAATGAATGCCTGGGAGGAGCAGACGTTCCCTGAGCTTGGGAGGGGACAACACAGAAGATGACTATGCCGGAACTGATGATGATGATGGTGATGAAGAGGACAGGATGGTGACAGCGCTGACGGGGAGGGTGACGATGATGGAGGAGACGGTGGAGATGGTGATGACGATGATGACCAGAATGACAGGGATGAAGACGATGACAAAGATGGAGCTGATGATAATGGTGACGCACAACGCAGAGAGCCACTTAAAGCGTGTTCGGCCCAAGCCTGCATTTGACAATGGCATGTCATAAAAAGATCAAAGGACTGGTTGTTCAAAGCCCCAGATCATGCTCCGCCCAGGCTCTGCCTTTGACAAGTCCAGTGACTTGCCCCAAATCGCCATCATCTATCAGATGGGGACAAACACTCTGCCCTGCCTACCTCACAGGGGGCATCCACAAGGTCACGGCCACGAGCATTAAGCTCCACCCACAGGCAGCAGGTGCAGCCACACAGACCAACAAGCCCTGGCGCAAACTCCATCGCTTCCTGGCTCAGCAGCTCCAAGGCAGTTGGGTCTCTCTCAGCCTCAGTTTCCCCACCGATACAAGAGACTGATAATACCCACTACACAGGTGGTCAAAATGGGTTCGTGTCTCCTGAGTGAACAGCTGTGAGACTCACCCTGCTTAGACACGGGGACTCGCATCCTGCTGGAGAGGATCAGACACACAATTCTTTTGTTTAAAAAGACTTATTTAATTAAAAGGCATAATGAGAGAGAGAGAGAGAGAGAGGGAGGGAAAGAGAGAGAGAGGGAAAGAGAGAGGGGGAGGGGGAGAAGGGGAGTGAGAGAGGGGGAGTGAGAGAGGGGGAGAGGGGGAGAGGGGGAGAGAGAGAGAGAGAGAGAGAGAGAATCTTCTGTCCACTGGTCATACTTCAAATAGACCACAGCTGGGGCTGACCAGGTGGAAGCCAGGAGTCCAGACCCCACCATGGGTCTCCCATGTGGGCGGCAGGGGCCCAAGGACTTGGGCCATCCTCTGCTGCCTTCCCAGGCACATCAGCAGGGAGCTGGGTCAGAAGCAAGCAGCCGGCACTCGAACCAGTATTCCGATATAGGATGCTGGCGTCACAAGTGGTGGCTTGGCCTGCTGCCTACAACACCGGCCCCTGACACATGAGTGCTGTATTCACTCCGTCACTCACCAGGTGACAAGTGCCACCCCTGCTCTCAAGAGGATGAGCACACAAGGACGAACAGACCCTTATGTACGCCCCAGAGCTAGGTGGAGGTTCATCCTGTTCATCAGCAGTTTAAGCAGCAAGGTCAGAGAGTGAGGGATGCTGCACTGTCCAAACCTGTTTGGACCCTGATTTAAAGAGTGAGGGTTGGGCCGGCGCCGCGGCTCACTAGGCTAATCCTCCGCCTTGCGGCGCCGGCACACCGGATTCTAGTCCTGGTCGGGGTGCTGGATTCTGTCCCAGTTGCCCCTCTTCCAGGCCAGCTCTCTGCTGTGGCCTGGGAGTGCAGTGGAGGATGGCCCAAGTGCTTGGGCCCTGCACCCCATGGGAGACCAGGAGAAGCACCTGGCTCCTGCCATCGGCTCAGCGCAGTGCGCCGCCGGCCATTGGGAGGGTGAACCAACCGAAAAGGAAGACCTTTCTTTCTGTCTCTCTCTCTCTCACTGTCCACTCTGCCTGTCCAAAAAAAAGAGGATTGCGGTGTCCAGCAGCAGTCTCCTCCACCAGGCAGACACCAGCATGTGCAAAGGCCCGGAGCTGCAGGCAGATTGGCAAGTCCAGGGAGCTGCAAGTCAGCCTTCATGACTGCAGGAGGAAGAGGGCCGGGAAACGAGGGTCCGAGGGGTTAAGCAGCCCACTCCGGGTCACACAGCCAAATTCTGGCCTGGCTGGGATCAGAACCCAGGCTCCTGACGGAGACAGGTTTTACTCCGGGGCAGAGTGGTCAGATGACAGGAGTGGCGGGGGGTGGGGCTGGTCCCGCCATGCTCCTGGTGACCTCTGGCGAGCTCTGGTATACCCGGCTTGTTCTGTGCAGTGACGGGCGCGTGACCCCGTGCCCCACCCCGGCTGCCGGGCTTGTGCGGCCGCTGACCCACTGACCTCTGCTGCAATCGAGGGCTGACTCAGACTCCTGGGCTTGCCCTGGCCGGAGGCCCGGGCAGGGGATGCTCAGCAGGAACGCTGCAGTGGGCAGCAAAGGGCACCGTTTGGAGTCAGGACCGGACATCAGCCCATGCTGCACTTGGTCAAGCCGCCCAGTGTCTTTCTGTCCACAACATAGAAGACTGGGCCACCCGACCGCTGAGGCACTGCCAGCTCTCCGCCTCTGGCCAGTGCTTCCCAAGCCTTGGCAGGTATCAGAGGCAACGCAAGGGGCTGGCGTGGTGGCACACAGGGTTCACTGCCACTGGCATGGCCAGCATTCTCTAGCAGACTGCCAGTCTGAGTGCCGGCTACTCTGCTTCCCACCTGGTTTCCTGCCAGCGCACCTGGGAAGGCAGCAGATGACGGCCCCTCCCACCCACGTGGGAGACTCCCATCGAGTTCCTGTGGCTCCTGGCTTCCGCCTGGCCCAGCCCTGGCTGTGGCAGCCATTTGGGGAATGAACCAGCAGATGAAATAGTTCTCGCTTTGTCTCTCCCACTCTCTCTGTTACTGTGCCTTTTCAAATTAATTCTTTAAAAAGAAGAAAAAAAAAAAAAACAAGGACCACCAGGAGGGCTGGTGCAAACCCCCAGAGCTGCGGATTCCGTGGGGCGGGGCGGGGCTGAGACTCTGCGGATGTGAGAAGCCCTACAGATGCTGACGCTGCGGCCTGCGCTTTGAAAACCAGCTGCACATTAGCCTCCCCCGGGGGAGCTTTAAACAGCGCAGCGCTCAGCCCCGGCCACAGAGCAATTAAATCAGCATCTCCGAGCGGAGGAGAGCACAGCCCCCCGAGGCGCCTGCAACGCGCTGCCAGCCTTGGGCAGCACTGTTCTAGGAAGGCAGCCGGGACCGCCACAGGACACCAGCAAATGCTTTATTTCCCTTCGGAGAAATTCACCTCGGCCCCAGCTGAGACGTCCACCTGAGCCTCAGTTTCTCCTGCTGGACGTGGGGCGGGTAGGAGGACTATGTAGAGCGCTGCCTCGCTCTGTCTGCCCTCTCCCCACCCCCACCGCTCCCCAGCCCCCCCCGCCACCTTGTCCCCAAGGAGCGCTTGTGCATTTTGGAAGCCGCACGATTCACTGAGCATTTATTGAAAATTTACGGCGGGCGAGCAGGGACGAATCAGGCCCGGTCCCCACCCCAAGCAGCTCCTGTGCTCACGGGGGTGACAAGGCAGGATGTGACACAGGAAGCAATCGCGATGAGCGCTACTGCATGCAAGGCTCTTTTAGAGTTTATTTCTGACATCTATTGACAGCTATTGTTAACGCCCACTGTACAGCCAGAGAAACTGAGGCTTAAACAGCCAGGCTCTGGTGCCCAGGGGAGGATGAGGTACACACTGTTAGGAAGGCTAGAGAGAGGCTCTGTGGCACGCGTAGGAGTTTGATGAGCAAGAAAATGTGGACCCAGGAGTTGGAAGGACGCTAGGCGCTCCATGGGACCCGCACACGCAAAGGCTGCAAGACGAAAACGAAGCCAGCGTAGGCTGGCGGCAGGGCACGGCGGGACGCGGATCCCGGTTGCAAGCCTTGCACGCCAGGCCAAAGTGTCCAGATTTTATGTCTTCAGCTACAGGGAGCCCTTGAAAACTCCTGAGCAGGGGATGGCATTTTTAAGGAAAAGATTTAGGTGGTCAAGGGCTATGAGAGGGGGCACCAGGGAGCCCAGTGAGGAAGGAGGTGGCTATAGCTAAGGGTCCCCATGAGAAACAGTGTGTCAGGGGGTCGGGAATGGGCACAGGCAGGAGGCGCATGGGTCCTTCATGTGCACCTGCTGTCGACTGACCCTTTCTCCACCGGGGAGTGGGGTGAGGCAGAAGGCAGAGCCCGGACGGCTCCCATTGTGTGGGGATACGGTCGGCGGGGCGTGACCCATTGCCCCTGCAGAGGGAGTGAGTATTAGGTTTCTGGGCTGGCTCGGAGCTGGCCGCCTGCCACCTTCCTGGGGCCCGAGTCCTCCTGACCTCAGCCTTCCAGGTGAAGCGTGCCATCCTGCCCGCCTCCCGCTGCCAACTTCACGGACGGCTCAAGGCTCGTCAAGCCAAGCACACACCCTCCGGGGCTGAAGGCAGTTCCCAGAGGTGAGGTCTGCTTATGGGAGGGAGGCGGGGCTGGGTAACCCCGGCCCTGCCTCTTAGGTCTGGACTAGGCGTAGGGTGAGTCCTGCGCCCTGCCCACCACCTGGCCGCTCCACCTGCACCTGCCTGGCCTTCCCGGGTTAACCTTAAACAGCACCAGGCAGAGTGAGCCCCCTCGCAGACTCACGGTCCAGGCCCAGTAGAGAACAGTGTCTGCCTGTGTCCCAGCAGTGTTAAACCCATTTTATAGATGGCACAACTAAGACTCAGGGTGGTGTCCGAAGCAGGGCTTGGGCGCGAGTCTCTCTCCCTTGGAGCTGCCTACCGGGGGCGTGAGAGTCACAGCCACCCCCAGACTCCGGGTCCCGGGCGCAGGGACAGCCGTCCCACGGAGACCTGACAAGGCTGAGCGCTCTCTCACACCTCGGCGAAACCGCCCATCTCCGCCTCACCCGGGGCACAGCTCCAGCCTCGCCGGCCAGTTTCCAGCTGAAATTTAATAACCTTGCTTTGTTTTCCTTGTACTTATTTTTACTCTTACCTTCTATTTATGGCAAGTGATACTGGCTTCCCATGTAAGGCAGAGATACGACGATTCTCTGAAAAATGTGCTGGGGCGGGGAGCGGGTCTCGGATGTAAAGCGTTAATAGGGGGCGCGTGGCCACCGCAGGCTCAGCCTGCCCGGGCTTAGGGAACGGCGAATGCCGGTCGGCGGGAGGCTCCGCCCCGGGCACACGGGCGGCCCCCGACAGCGCTGCGGGCGCAGACCTCCGTGCGGGCGCGCTGGGCCAAGGTGACTCCAGGCCCCTCGCGGTCCCACGTGCGCGGCCCATGTGTCAGCGCAGGGGTCCCTCCTGCTCGGTAGGGGCGGGTAGGTCGGGCACCTGGGGACTTCCGCAGGAGACGGGTTCGGGAGCCGGGGTGGGGGGGTGCGGGGTGGGCGCGGGCTGCAGACCACCCGCGGCCGGCCACCTGCGGCCAGAGCTGGCGTGCGTGCGACTGCGTGCGCAGACGTCAGCCTCCGAGGCCCGGGCCGCCTTCCGGCCCCCGCGCGCGCGTGCCCCGGCGCCTCGAGCCGCCCCCCAGCCGCCCCAGCCCCACGCGCCCGGGCACGCGGAGCCGCCGGACTGCGGCGCCCGGCGGGCGCGGGCGGGGCGGGGCAAGGCCGCGGGCTCCGCTCCCATTGGACAAGGGCTCCGGGCGGGGGCGGGGCTCGGGGCGAAGGCGGGCGAGCGCGCGAGCGCGGGGCAGACGCGGACGCCGGGCCGGGCTGCTCGCCGGGGGCCGCGGGCGCGGGGTGGGCGACGCTCGCCCGGGACCGCCCGCGGGAGTCAGCGCTCCGGCCGCTTTCTGGAGGCACCGCGAGCTCGCCCTGCCGGAGGAGGGGGCGTCCGCCTGCGGGGAGTCGGGGGCCGCGCAGAAAGTTCTCCTCCGCGGGAGGGCGCGGGGAGGAGGCGGGCTAAGGCGAACTTGGGGCGGCGTTCACGGCCCCCTCCCACACACGCGAGCGGAGCTGAGCGCCCTGCTCCTCCGTCAGCTGCTGGCGTCGCCTCGCGGGGAGAGCTGCGGCGCTGCGGGCTGGCGCGGAGGCCCGAGCGACCCCGTGGGAGCGGGCGGAGAGGGTAGCACGGGCGGCCAGGGCAGGCTCACGCGCCCGGGACACGCACGCATCCACGGTCACTTCCAGAGGACACCCCCGAGCCCCGGGTCTCTAGGGGTAGCTCCTTGATCCCCAGAGTCGCCCTGAGCTCGCCCGCCCGCCCGGGAGCCCCAGGCGGGGACCCTCTCCCCATCGCCCCCCCCGCATCGCGCGTCTCCAAGCCTCCGGGCACCTGGCTCAGCAGGAGGCCCCCGGGTCGGGGCAGGGCAGGGCCGGCAGTGGCGAGCCGGAGCCCGCCCAGCGCCCGAGCCCCGCCGACCCCTCGGAGCCCACCCATGGGGCCCCAGCTCCGCGCGCCCCCTCGCCCGGCCGCGCCGCGCCGGGCACCCCGAGCCGCGCGGAGGAGGAGCCCCGCTCAGTGACCCGGGAGCCGCGGCAGCCACAGGGAGGCTCGGCGGCGGCGGCCGGAACGGCAGGCGGTTCCCCACACCTCCAGGCGCTTCCTGGCAGCCCTCCGCGCCGTGCCAAAGGCCTGGCCCGCCAGGTAGGAGAGAGACGGGCAGCAGCCTCGGGGAGTGGGGTCGAAGTGGGGCGGCCCGGAGGGGCGGGGAGGGTCCGGACCGAGGAAAGCTGGGCGCTCCTTGACAAGCCAGGGGGAGAGCTGGTTTGGGTGAGCACCTACTATGTGCCAGGGTCCATAGCAACTTTACTTAGCTAGGAAGAACTGAATTCTGCGGGGCGTGGGTTGGGCGGGGGCTGCACCCTTTCCAGGAAGGGGAGCCTGACCCAGCGTGCTACGAGACTCTCAAAAACACTGCCAGGACTCCTGGAGCCAGCAGCAGCCTGCACAATTGCGTGTGGGTGGGTGGGGGGTGTCTGTGATAGGCCCTGGGCTGGCCGGGACCCCCTCTGAGGACAGCAGGCCAGGGAGCCCCTTCCTTACCCGTAGCCCCTCCAGCTTTCTCTGGGTCGCCAAAGACAGATGTCCCCTGCCTGGGAAGAGTTTCCAGGGCTCAGTGGCCCCGAGGGACCCCACACGCCTCTGGCCAGAGCAAGAATGTTGTCCGGGACCTCTTGCGGGTGGGGGGTGGGGTGGGGGGAGATGCGGGCTTCTCCTGGGGTGGGAGTGACCAGGTGGGGGTCCTTTCACGCCTCTGCCTGCACCCAGCTCAGACTGCTGGCATTAAGTGCCACAAAGAAAGGAACCCGGGGCTTGAGGCCTGCTGTGTGTGCCCTTTGGCTGTACCGGCCTCTGGCCAGGCTGTGGGTTTGGCCCCCCATTTAATGGAGAAACAGCCTGAGCCCCAGGAGGCCGAGTCATTGGCCAGGTCGGGGAGAGGCAGAGCTGGGCTGTGGAGAGCCGTGGCTGCCTCCCTGCTGCTGTCCTGATCTGCCAGGGCCCAGGGGGTTGGCTGGAGGTGGGCGGAGCTGCGGCCAGGGTCTGCAGTGTGTGTGGGGGGAGCAGAGGGGCTGGGGGGAGGGCGAGTGCAGTGAAGCCGGCTGTGGGGTGCCCACCGAGAGGACACGGGCGTCCCCACCCTCAGCCTGCTGTCCCTGCCTGTGTGACCCCCCTCTTCCAGGCAAGCCTTGGGGGAGAGGGGTGCGAGGGAGGAGTGAACCAGCAGGTGTACTTACAGGGTCTGCAGGTGAGCCAGGGGGGTGGGGGGAGTGAGGTGGTAATGTGCCTCCGGGGTCACTCCCGCTGCCACCAGCCGAGGCTTCACTCCACCGCACACTGTTCTCCTAAGGACTCTGGTTTGGGCCAGGGGTGGGTTCTCATAGCGATCGGAGCTCAGCCAGGAGCCCAGCAGCCTGGTGGTTTCCCTGCCCAGCCAGCCGGCTGTGTGTGCACCAGGGCAGGCGACTCAGCCTCCCTGCCCATCAGCATCCCGTCAGTCCAGTGGGAGCAGAGCAGTGCGTCCCCAATGGGACTGCTGGGAAGTGGGCAACAAGGCAGGGGCAGTCGCCTGCCTGGCCAGGGTCACTATTCCCCTGGACCTCCCCCCGCCCCGCCCCGGCGTCTGTGCCCCCGGCTGCCCTCATGCTGCTGCGGTGGGCTCAGCGGTCATATCAGTGCCTCTGGCTCCCACGCTGCTGGTGGTCACTGGTGACTCTCAGGTCTCCCAAAAGACCCTTTAAACTGAGTCCTGGCTGTGCCTTCCTGGGGTCAGCCCGGCCCAGGGTGGAGAGTGGGGAGCAGGCAGCGGAGGAGAGACGTTGTGCCACGCCCATCAGTGCCCACCTGCCTCCTCCTGCTGAGGAGAAAGAACGGTGTGGGGGCGGGAGGCGGAGCCCACAGGGGCCCTGTCACCTGGCATCCAGGTGTCAGTGCCTCACACGGCCCCACGTGGCCGGGGCCACGTGAAGACTCAGTGTTATCTCTGAGGACGCAGCCTTGCACTTTATTGCGCTTTCGGACTCCCTGCCTCTCCTCTCAGACTCCCTGCCTCCCCTCTTGGACTCCCTGCCTCGCCTCTGACTCCCTGCCTCCTTTTTCTGGCTCCCTGCCTCCCCTCTTTGACTCCCTGCCTCCCCTCTCTGACTCCCTGCCTCCCCTCTGACTCCCTGCCTCCTTTCTCTGGCTCTCTGACTCCCTACCTCGCTTGCCTCTGACTCCCTGCCTCCTTTCTCTGGCTTCCTGCCTCCCCTCTCTGACTCCCTGCCTCCCCTCTGACTCCCTGCCTCCTTTCTCTGGCTCTCTGACTCCCTACCTCGCTTGCCTCTGACTCCCTGCCTCCTTTCTCTGGCTTCCTGCCTCCCCTCTCTGACTCCCTGCCTCGCCTCTGATTTCCTGCCTCTTGCTGACTCTTTGCCTTCTGTCCCTGACTCCCTGCCTCCTGCCTCCCCTCTCTGACTCCCTACCTCCCCTCTCGGACTCCCTGCCTCCCCTCTCTGACTCCCTGCAGCCCATTCAGTCACTGATACTAGTTTACCTGTACCAGGAGTTCTGGGCTGGGGGCTGGGGCGGGACTGGTATGGAGTCAGACGCCATCCCTGGGGGGTGGCTGGTGCCTTTCCTGTACTGTCTGCAGAGGGGACCACCTGCAGAGTCCTCCTGCTCAGGGCTTTGGAGAGGGGCGGTCTCAGGACAGGGAGCCAGCCAGCCCCGGGCCCTCTGTTGGCCGCACAGGCACGGCCAGGGTGCCTCACGACTGTGTGCCTAGCCCTGGGGTCAGCCAGGCCCGCTGGGGAAGAGGGGAGAGGTGGGGCATGGGTGAGCCCCGAGGCAGAGCCCTTTGGCTGTGCACTGTGTCCGTGGACCGTTCACTGGCACCTGCTGTCCTGGCACTGCTGTCCTGGATGATGACTTCCCCGGTGCATCAGGCATGAACTGGGGAGCAGCGAGGGTCTGACGCCTGGAGCCGGCCCCCAGCTCCTCGTTAATTGCCTCGTGGGCATCAAGGTCCTTATTTGTGAAACGAGAGAAGTAGCAGGAGGAACATAGATAAATAAATAATTAAAATTTTAAAAAGGGGCTGGCGCTGTGGTGCAGCGGGGTTAAGCCACCGCCTGGGATGCCAGCGTCCCGAATCGGCCCCCAGGTTCGAGTCCCAGCTGCTGCACTTCCGATCCAGCTCCCGGCTAATGTGCCTGGAAGAACAGCGGAAGATGGCCCAAGTGCTTGAGCCCCTGCACGCACTTGGGAGACCTGGAGGAAGCTCCTGGCTCCTGACCCAGCCCTGGTCATCGTGGCCATTTGGGGAGTGAACTGGCAGATGGACGACCTCTCTTCAGATAGATAAATAAATCTTAGACAAGAAAAAAGAAAAGTAGCAGGAAGGGCTTCAAAATGGTCATGGAAATGTGAGATTATAAGACAGAGAGCACCTGGCAGGAACTCGGGGAAGCCCCTCCCGTGTGCTCCATCGCGCGGGGTCGGGTCCCTCCATGGCCGGCTGCTGGCTGTGTGAGGGTGAGCAAGTGCCTTAACCCCTCTGGGCCTGTGTCCTCACCACCGGGCTTCAGAGTTTTGTTGCCACTGGCTCCCGCGGCTCTGTACTTGGCTTGGTTCTCGGTGATGGGCCTGGGGTCAGGGTGCGCCCTGTAGGCTTCCTGCGTGCGCCTCCTCGCGGCCTGTTGTGGTCACGTGGGCACCCTGGCAGTGGCCCTGGCGGGAGGTCTGGGAGAGGTATTTGGAGAGCCATAGCTGGGCAGGGGGGAGCAGACATGGCCACGTGCCAGGAGATGCACGCGCCGGAGGTCTCCGTGAGAGCCGTCTGAAGCACTCTTCAGTGTTGTGGTAGGGATGGTGTGAGGTTTGTGGCGAATGGATGAGACACTCAGAGCTGCTGATGTGGGGCACCCAGGGGTGGGAGCCCAGTCTTGGCCCATTTGATGGGCAAACAGCAGACAAAACCTGCTTCCCTCTGCCTGCAGCCCCCACTCGCCCATCCTGCCCAGTGCCTTGTGCAGTGCCCAACCTGTGCTACTGGTGGAAGCCCCCTGAGGACCAAGGGGATTATCTCAGCAGGCCTGTACCCACTTGCAGATCTGGGGCCGGCTCGCTGTCCTGTAGAGCGGGGAGGGGTTTCTGCTGGCGGGGGGCGACTTGTGGGGCTCAGGAGGGTGGCTGGGCTGTGAAAGGCCTTTGGAGCCGTGGAGGCAGGCTCGCTCAGCTCCACCTGGGCTTTGGAGCTGGGTCTGTCCCAGCCTCTTCCATGGGGTCCAGAGGCTCCCATGGAAAGTTCTGGATGGTTCCCCAGAACCGTGAGCCCTTGCAGTTGGGAGCAAAGCTTGAGTCACCAGTGAGCCATTCCCCTGCTGCCGTCCTCTGCGTCTCCCAGAGGCCGGAGTGAACTCCCAGGGCCTTGGAGGCAAAGTCTTGGGGCAGGAGGTGGAGAGGCTGTCGGCCAGCCGTGGGCAGTGGGCGCCCTCCAAGTCCAAAGCCATGGTCTCAAGCACATCCTGCCCGTTGGCTGCAGCAGCCTGGGGCATCAGCTCGGAGGCTGTGACCTGGACATAAAGACTTTCCCTCCCCGGGGTGCCAGGAGATGCATGCCTGTGGCTTCCCGGGTCTGCCCCGGCATCGCGGGCCCCAGGAAGCCAGGGCTCCTGTCCCGGCGTCTGAGCCGGGCCAGAGCGGGTGCTGAGATCCGGTGACATCCGTGAGCTGTTGCCCTGTGCTCAGGCCTTTGCGGCAAGCCTGGGAACTGGGCTCGCTTCACAGGTGAGACAGGCGACTCCCGGAGAGGTGGAGCTGCTCGCCCGGGGTCAGTGGTGAGGGGGAGGGAGGACCCAGCCCTGCAGCCCGAGCACGAGTGGGCGAGCAGTGCACAGGTGAGCGAGTGCACGAACGAGGGAGTGAAGGAAAGACAGGGAGGGACCGAGCGGGGTGGAATGCCAAGGCTGCGTCCAGGGAACCTAGTCAGACGGTCCCATTTTGCAGATGCAAAACTGAGGCCTACCTCGAGGCCCCCTGACGCGTGCTCCTCTGGCTTTTTGTCCCAGCCCCGAGCCATGATGAAGACCCTGTCCAGCGGGAACTGCGCGCTCAGCGTGCCCGCCAAGAACTCGTACCGCATGGTGGTGCTGGGTGCCTCCAGGGTGGGCAAGAGCTCCATCGTGTCGCGCTTCCTCAACGGCCGCTTCGAGGACCAGTACACGCCCACCATCGAGGACTTCCACCGCAAGGTGTACAACATCCGCGGCGACATGTACCAGCTGGACATCCTGGACACCTCCGGCAACCACCCCTTCCCCGCCATGCGTAGGCTCTCCATCCTCACAGGTGAGGCCCGCCCGCCCCGGTTCCCTGTGCGCGGTGCTGCCTTCCACAGCATTCTGGGAACAGAACGGCGGGTCACGGGCTGGGGTGTCCTGGCACCCAGGTCTCTGCCCTGTCTCGGAGAGGCGAGGGCCGGGCCTGGACACAGCCTGGGCACGAGTGGCAGCCTGGCCCCAGGCTCATAACCCTCGCGGCAAACCTGGGACACAGGTGTCAGCCCCCATTTTACAAGTGGGGAAACTGAGGCCGGGGGTTCCGGGACTTGCTGCAGGGGTCGCACAGCTGGTGGGCGCCGTCTGTCTCTTGGGCTTCACCCATCCGGGCTGAGCTGTGGCCTCAGCCGCTGTGGGTCCTGGGGGAAGGACAGGGTGTGGGGCGCCGGGCGCCTGGAGGTGGGGCTCTGGCTCTCGTCCCCGCCCTCAGGTGGTCAGGTGGCAGCTGAGAGGGCAGGCCCAGAGACTGTCCGAGGCCGGGTTTTATCCCTGCGTGCCTCAGGTTCCCTGTCTGTAACACTGTGTCACGTGAACACCTGACTCGGGGCCCTGCGAGAACGGAGCTGACGCACGTGCGGTGCTCAGTGTTGGGCGTAGAGTGAGCGGCACGTGCAGCGTGCCTGCCTGCCGCGGGCCGCGGAAGGGAAGAGTGAGCGAGGACCCAGGGCCCTGCCAAGGGCTCCGTGCCATGGCAGCACCGAGGCCGGCGCTGGGCCCATCCCTGAATGCCCTGAGCACGCGGCCCCCGCTTCCTCGGGGACTGCGTGACCCTGACTGCACAGGCGCCCCCTCCCCCCCCCATGCTGGCGCGGGAGCGTGCAGGTAGAGGAGCCCCGGCAGCCAGTGTCACAGAGGTCCGGTCCGGACGGCCTGGTCTCTGCCTCCTCACCGCACAGGGTCGCCCCCCTCTCCCTCCCTGTGAGGCTGCAGGACTGTGAGCACAGTGGGGTGGGGGCGGGGAGGGGGCAGCGGGCAGCCCACGGTGATGGGAGGGGCTGCGTGCTCACTGATGTCAGGCCAGTGTCACCGGGAGGGGGAGAGGTGCGGAGAGGGACGATGCATTCTTTCTTCAGTTTTTAAGAGGTTGGTTTATTCATTTGAAAAGGGAGGGTGACAGAGAGAGAGGGAGACAGAGAGCTTCCATCTGCTGGTTCACTCCCCCAATGGCCACCATGACCAAAGCCAGGAGCCTGGCAGGGACCCAAGCACTCGGGCCACGTTCTGCTGCCTTCCCAGGCCGTTAGCATGGAGGTGGATGGGCGGCGGAGCAGGTGCGACTTGAACGTGTGCTCTCATGGGATGCGGGCATCAGAGCCGGTGCCTTAACCTGCTGCGTCCCTGCGCCGGCCCCAGAGTGAGTTCGGGGTCATGCACCCGCTACGCCGTCACACCCTGCCTCCGACACGGCAGACAAAGCTAACGCCCCTTGGCTGTGTGCCTCCTCCCCCCCCCCCCCGGCCCAGGGGAGCCACCCCAGCATGCTGTGGACTCTCTCTGTCTGGGCCCCTTCGAGGAGGGAGTTTGTCATTCTGAGCACATCTGTCCCCGGTTTGCTTTGTTCCCGCCCTGGCCTGCGCCTCGCGTTCCAGCCTAGTGCTGGTGCACAGCCAATCCTGAAAGCCGGCTCCCCGTCCAGCTGCTAGCCGCGCCGGCCTCCGGCTCTGGGCCTCAGGCTCTCCCATTTGACCCCAGGAGCCCGGGGCTAGCCTGATGGGACGCAGTGCCTTCCAGAACGGCCCACACTGTCATTCTGTGCCCTCCATGCCACCCAGTGAGCCGGCCTCAGTGACACTCCAGTGCCAGGCCCTGGGGAGAGGAGATGAGCAGGTGCTGGGTTCAGGGCACCCTGTTGGCCGGACGCAGCTCTCAACACGGCCTGTGCTGTCACGGGGGTGCCTGGCGTGCTCTGGGGTCTGGAGGAAGGCGGCGGCGGCTTGGCCAGACACTCTCGGAACCAGGGCCGCCTGCTGGCTCCTTGAAGTCCTGGTTTCAGGACTCTCACGTCTACACCACAGGCTGTTAAAAAGTTTGAGCCAAAGAGAGGCAGGGGCTTGGGCAGTGAGATGCCAGTCATTGTTGAGCCTGGGGAGTCGGGGTGGAGCCACCTTCACCCCGCACCTGCCGTCTCCGCGCCGGGCCCTGCTGCTGGTCGCTAACCTGCAGGGCTGCCGCGGAGCTGGCCTGGGCCTTGAAGGCAGCGCTCACGCACTCACCCCGTGATTACCCGAGAAGCAGAGCCCGGCCGTGAGCCGACAGCTGGGCCGAGAGTCTGGACTGCCATGCTGAACCCGCGTGCTCTCGGCAGGTGCCTTTCCCTCTGTGAGCCTTGGAGGCTCACCTGTCACGCGGGGTAACACGATCCCCCCAGGGAGGAGTCCGCGGCACGTGGCTGTGGTGCTCGGGTCTCGGCAGGTGCTTTTGCTCATTGTCGTGACTGACACTGGAGCTGCCCGAGCGCCCGCCACTCCCCATTCACTATCTCACAAGTGGTCCCGTAGGGCAGCATTTCGTCCACACAGGACAGGCGGGGAAGCCGCGGTGTGGAGAGGCCATGCGGCCTGCTCACGGCCTCGTGGCTGGTAAGTGGAGGAGGCGAGGGGCAACCGCGGGCCTGCCCAGCACCCGCGTACCCTGCCGCTGCGGCCACGAGTGCTTCTGGGCTGCTGCTGTGTGTCCGGTGCTAGCGTGGGTCCCAGGAGAGGTGCTGGGCAAGACAGGCCAGGCCCGGGCTCTCGGCCACCCGAGCACGGCACTCGCCAGGCAAGGCCAAGTCAGTGACCGTCTGTGGGTTGTGAACAAGGGTCCTAGGCCCTCCCTGCCTCAGTTTCCTGCTCTGAGAAATGGGGAGAATGAGAGAGCCTCCCATGGAGTCACGGAAGAGGGCGGTCAGCGCCCCCCGCGTGGGGCCCGTGTGGGTCAGCGGCGGGAGCTGGCTGCAGGGAGGGGCGGTCTGGGCCGGCTGGGAACTCACTTCCCTCCCCCTCCTTCCCCAGGTGACGTCTTCATCCTGGTCTTCAGCCTGGACAGCCGGGAGTCCTTCGACGAGGTCAAGCGTCTGCAGAAGCAGATCCTGGAGGTCAAGTCCTGCCTGAAGAACAAGACCAAGGAGGCGGCCGAGCTGCCCATGGTCATCTGCGGCAACAAGAACGACCACGGCGAGCTGTGCCGCCAGGTGCCCAGCACCGAGGCCGAGCTGCTGGTGTCGGGCGACGAGAACTGCGCCTACTTCGAGGTGTCGGCCAAGAGGAACACCAACGTGGACGAGATGTTCTACGTGCTCTTCAGCATGGCCAAGCTGCCGCACGAGATGAGCCCCGCCCTGCACCGCAAGATCTCCGTGCAGTACGGCGACGCCTTCCACCCCCGGGCCTTCTGCATGCGCCGCGTCAAGGACATGGACGCCTACGGCATGGTCTCGCCCTTCGCCCGCCGCCCCAGCGTCAACAGTGACCTCAAGTACATCAAGGCCAAGGTCCTTCGGGAGGGCCAGGCCCGCGAGAGGGACAAGTGCACCATCCAGTGAGCAGGGAGGACGTGGGGTGGGGGGCAGTGCCTTAAAGGGAGGTGGCCCCAGACGCCTGCTGCCCGCAGCCCCCCGCCCGGGGGGCGCCACAGCAGTCTGGTCCAGAGACCTGGCCCGGCGCTGACCTCTGCCCGCTCCTCCGCCTCCCCGCCCGCCCGCCTGCCCGCCGCTCCCCTCTGAGCCCCTGCCTGTGGCTTCCCCGCGAGAGTCGTTTCTCTGAGCACCGAGGCCGCCTCTGGGAGAGCTCTGGCGGGAGCCTTCCCCTCGTGAGGCCGGGGGAAATGCTGATGCCAGAGAGGCCAGGGTTCCTGCACCACACAGAACCTTCTGGAAGGAGCCAGACCCAGGACGGAAGCGCCCGAGAGCCAGGGGCCAGGCCCGGCCGGGCGTGGTGGCAGCTGATCTCCTGCCTCCGGCTCTGCTGTCTCTCCCCCCACCCCCTGTCGGCCCGGCTCCCCGCCGGGACCTTCGCCCAGTGGCTGTGCTTTCCCGTGTTGCAGCTGCTCCCGTGGCTTACGTAGTCGTAGAAGCAAGTCGTGGGACCCGTAAGAGCCCAGTGCCCCTCCTTGGCCAGGCCCCGCCCAGCTCAGAGCCGCTGTCTCCCCTGCTCCCCACACAGGCGTCCGGGGCCCCGCCTGCAGCTAGGCCCGTCACTGCCAGCCCGAGCTGCAGAGTTTGGAGACATTTGCTTGGAGCGGGGCTGGCAGGCCAGGGCTGCTTCTCCTTCATGCACCCATTTCACAGAGGAGGCAACTGAGACTCAGAGGGGCGGGTGACAGGTCCCAGGCGACAGCCTCGCCCCCTAGCTAGTTCGAGGCTGAGCTTTGCCCCGAGCCAGGCCGTCCTCTGCTGAGCTTGGTTCTCGAGCATTTATTGAGTACCTGCTGGATGATAGGAAACAGAGGAGGGTGTACACTCCGTGTCCCCAGTTCTGGCCTCTGCCCACCCACGCCGTGCTACTCGGACAGGTTGGGCCTGTTCCGTGTGCCCCAAGGCTGGGGGCTCTGGTTACCCCCACATACTAGGTGTGGTGGGCTTCGAACCTGTACACCAATGGCCCTCACACCATCAGCTCCTCACAGATCTGTTGCATATCTCCCTTTAGGACCATGAGAAACCATGGTGGCCGTCTAGCGAGGTTCTGCAAGGCCCAGAGAGGGTAGGTCACTTGTCCCAGGTCACACAGCAAGTCTGTCAGCGGCAGAAGCAGGGCTAGCTCCAGACGTCCAGTGCCCACCACGAGGGGGCCCCTTCTGGTACCTCCTCAGCCCCTGGGGCCTTCAGGGATTTGGGACGTCTTATTGTCCACCCTCTCCCGAGGTCAGCCTGGAGGGCTCCTGTAGATGGCTGTGGACACGGTGCCCCTGTATATACATGCACACACACGTGAGCACACAGGCACACATGGCCTGCCCCGGCTCTGCACACCTGCACCTGGCCAGCCCAGCCCCTGCCTGCCACTCAGCTCAGCGCGACCACCCCGGCTTCTGTCCCCATACCCCCGAACAGACCAGGTATGTGGGCTGCGACAGGGGTGTGACCTGGTCTCCCCCAGCCACGCCCCTGCTGCTCCAGGTCTCTGTGTACACTCTCAATTAAAGTGGGTTTGTTACAACACCATGACCTTGACTGTGCCTTCTGTGTCACCAAGAGGTGCCTCCCCACCCAGCCACAGCCAGCCTTCCCCTCCCACCGTGTACCTGCCTGCTGCCCTGGCCATGGCACTAAGTCAGTCTTCACGTTCAGATTTGGTAGCAGGGAGAAAGGTGCGGGGGAGGGTGGGGGCTGCCAGCCCAGGCCCTGCTGGACCCTCCGGGCTGTGCGTGCTGAGAGGTCCCAGCCCCTTTGTGGGCAGGCAGGAGAGGGCGCCCCCGGGGATCGGTAGCTCCCTGAGCGTCCCTGTGTCTCGTTCTCGCAGAGCAGCGAGTTGGCCTCCAGGGGACGTTTGGACACAGGCGGTGGTCAGGACTGTAGGGTGGGTGCTGCAGGTGGTGGGCAGAGGCCTGCAGGGCCCAGGATGGCTCCCACCGTGCCATTACCCGCTCCCCCTCCCCTGGTGTCTGACCCTCACCATCAAGGTCAGGGCCCAGCCCACGTGGGCGTGGCTGACACCGTGGGCAACTCCAAGCTCTACTCAACCAGACTCTCGACAGGCAGGTGAGCCCCTGTGAAATGAGACAGGTGGGCGGACACAGCGGAGACCCAGGGAGAGGGCCCTGGGCTGGGGACAAAAGGGGCAGGGGGAGGAGGCTGCAGCACCTGCCCCGGGCTCTGCATCCTCCCGTGGGCCAGCTCTGTGAGAATCCACTCAGCTGGGGCTCAGAGCGCAGCTCAGCTCATCGGAGATGCCCGGATGACGTGGAGATCGGAAACGCGTTGTTTCTTCCTGCCTGCCTGCCTTGTGTCCTGCCTTTCTGTTTACTTACCTGAGAGGCAGAGAGAGAAGCCACAGAGAGAGCTCCCTTCCACTACACTTGCCAAATGCTGACCGTGACCCGGGCTGGGGCAGGCAGAAATCAGGAGCCACGAATTCAATGCAGGTCTCCCACGCGGGTGGCAGGAACCCACGGCTGCCTCCCAGAGTCCCCGTTAGCAGGAAGCTGGTGCTGGGAGCCAGAGAAGGGACCCCAGCCCAGGTGCTCTGCTGTGGGGTGCGGCTGCTTCACCTCCAGGCCAGAAGCCGGGTCTGTGTCTGTGATGCGCAGATGCCACCGAGCACGGCTCGGCGCGTGGCCAGGGGTGGGGGTCCCCAGGGGAGCAGGTCCAAAGCGAGGCCACCTTCACAAGGAGGGGCGGGCTGTGGGAAGGAAGCCGGGCTCACCAGGTGCGGAGAGCTGGGGAGGGCTCCCCCACCACCACTCCCTGGGGGCCGGCTCCAAGCCGCAGAGGTCTAGCCTAGCCTGGGGGCTCTATCTCTCCCCCTTTCAAATAAAAAAGTGAATTTTGAAAAAAAGGCGGACTGATGGGAGAGAGCTGGTGCCCCAGGCAAGCTCCCCCTCCCGCTGCTCTCCCAGGCCTCAGCTGCTGGTCCACGAGTGGGAGGTGGGCGGAGGGCGGCCCCCGGCAGGAATTAATATTCCGATTACGTATTCCCCAGAACATGCTTGCTCCCCGCTCCCTCTCCCGGTACCCAACACCTGTGGCCCTGGAGTGGAGGCTGCAGTGGGGGAGGCTGGGGTCAGAGGGCAGGGGACTGCCCTCGGGGTGAGGCCATCCCGAGCCAGCCCAGCAGGGCCAGCTCCTTCCTGCCCGAGGCCGGAGCCCCGGGAGTCTGATTGCCTGGAAGCCTGCGGTGAACTCCAAGTGCCTGTTCTCGCCCGCCTGCCTGAACCTGTCACTTCCTCAGCCTGTGTCACATCCCGCCCTGCTGGGGGCCTGCAGGGGCTCCGCGGTCAATGCCACGGGGAACCAGGGGGAGGTAAAGGGAGCCAGCCGCCTGCCCTTTGCTGAAGACCTACTGTGCGCCAGGTACCCCGCCTTTTACTGCATCCTTAGCACATCCTCGTGGCAAAGTCAGGTTGAAGGATTGTGGGTTCCCCACTCCCCCCCTTTTTTTTGACAGGCAGAGTGGACAGTGAGAAAGAGACAGAGAGAAAGGTCTTCCTTTTCCATTGGTTCACCCCCCAATGGCTGCCGTGGCTGGCACACCACGCTGATCCGATGGCAGGAGACAGGTGCTTCTCCTGGTCTCCCATGGGGTGCAGGGCCCAAGCACTTGGGCCATCCTCCACTGCACTCCCTGGCCACAGCAGAGAGCTGGCCTGGAAGAGGGGCAACCGGGACAGAATCCGGCGCCCCGACTGGGACTAGAACCCAGTGTGCCGGCGCCGCAAGGCGGAGGATTAGCCTAGTGAGCCGCGGCGCTGGCCCCCACTCCCCTTTTTAAAAAAGATCTGTTTCGAAGGCAAAGAGATAGGGGGAGGAGAGAGAGACTGATTTTTCCTTCCACTGGTTCACTCCTCAAATGGCCCCAACAGCTGGGGCTGGGCCAGGCTGGAGCCAGGAACTCTGTCCAGGTGTCCCACAAGGGTGGCAGGGGCCCAAGTCCTTGGGCCAGTATCTGCTACCTTGCCAGGCGCATTGGCAGGGAGCTGAGTCAGAAGCAGAGCAGCCCAGACTGGAACCGGCACTCGTGTGGGATGCTGGCACCATGCTGACCGCATGATCCCTTTCTTAGACAACAGGGCATGGATGCTCAGAGAGGTAGGGCTCTTTGCCTGAGGTTGCACAGCCAGCCCACGTCTGATTGCAAAGTACACGTGATCTCCAGGGCTCTCATAGCTCAGCCACTGCAGGAGCTGCTCTCTGGGGGCGGAGCCGGCCTGCTGGGGTGCAGCGTGGGCTGTGGTTCAGAGAACTCATGGCGGCTGCTCGACCACTCAGGGCGAGAGGCTGAGTCACCGCAGTAAGACGTCCTTGTCCTGCGAAAGCCACGCTGCTCCACTTGGGCAATCCAGGCACCGGCTGCTTCCGACTTCGGCTCCCCCTGCTCTGGGACTTGGCGCCGGTGGAAGCTGCCACTGCGCTCAGGATTCAGCCGGAGCGGCAGGGAAGGCAGCGTGGGAGGTGCACCTGCCGTTTGTTCAGGGCCGTGGTCACTTCCTGGCCAGAGCTCAGGTCCGTGGCCACAGCACCGAGAAGCGCGGTCCTTTGCTAGAGGGTCCCCGGCCCTGTGCCCTGTGTCACCTGGCACAGAGGAGGTGAGGTAAGGCGGACCCCGCTTCGGGCGACTTCCAGCCGGCTGCACCTGCAGACAGCAGCTCAAGTCCCCGAAGCTTCTTAACTCAGCCCCGCAGGGTCCTCAGGCAAACTTGGCTGCCCCATGCTTTTCTCAGTTCTCTTGCAAAATAGCCCGGATCAAAGGCACTGTGAGTGACACACAGTCCCAGCTGGAGATCCTTGGCCCCGCCCCCCAGTCTAAGTTCTGGGCTTCGTTCAAAGACTTTGCCTCCTACCCTGCACTGTGCCTCCTGCACACGCGAGCTGGGAGCCGGGGAAGAGGCGGCCATCGGGTCCCGTGTCTGCTCCCTGCTCCACTTTTAGTAGCTTCCAATTTCTCTCCCTTCCCTCCTTGGCTGTGGGGCTGGTGCGGAGGGAGAAGAGGCCCGGGGAGGGGACCAGCGCTGTATGGGCACTGATCTGTGTCCTGGCTGCTCCACTTCCGATCCAGCTCCCTGCTCATGGCCCAAGTGCTGTGCCCACGGGGGAGACCTGGAAACAGCTCCTGGCTCCTGGCTCCAGTCTGGCCCAGCCCAGACTGGAGTGCACTTGGGGAGTGAACCAGCAGGCCCTAGGGGTGACGTGTAGATTTCTGGGGCTCTCCAGCAGTTCTGTGTGTCTCGGTTGGGGCCGGTGGCTCTGTCCTCCTGTGGCCCCTGCGGATGCCTTTAGGTTCTCCGAGTTGAAGCCTTTGTCACTCCAGTGCTGTCTTGCAGGGCCACATTTTGCTGTCAGGGTGGCTTCGTGCTTGGGAATCTGAAGTCCGCTTTCCTGGCATCTCAGCCAGAAGGAAGCGGCCGGGCGCAGAGTCTTGGAGTCCAGCTGTCTCACGTCTACTGTCACAAAGCACCCGAGGCAGGGGGACTTAATAAAGCAGAGAGGGTGAGCGCGGCTCAGGGCTCTGCAAGTTCCAGGCTGCAGGGCTTCTTGCTGGCAGAGTCCCGAGGCAGTGCCGAATGCCCGCGCGTGTCCACGTGTGGGTCTTCCCTCGATTGCCCCCTCTTCTCGCAAAGTCACCAGTGCTCTGTGACACGGGTGCCACCCTGGTGATTTTGTGTGATCCTGATCGCCTCCCGGCAGCCTCACCAGGAAGCACCACGGTCAGGCTGGGCTTCCAGCTTCACCACATCCTGGGGGCATGCTCCTGCCACACCCGTCATCCGCCAGGAGAGTGGCACTGGCCTAGGGACCCCCATCTAGGAAATGGGACGCTGCCCAGGAAGGCGAGTCAGAGCCTGGAGTGAGGACTAACCACGCTGGGTGTCCCGGGCAAGGCTCTCGGGGCGGATGGCGTTGGCTCTGGGGCTGCCTGGGTCTGAACCAGCCCTGCCACTCGCCCCGGCGGTCTGTGGGCAGATGAGCTTCTGTACGGGCCAGCTGCAGCTGTGACTGTGCCTCGTGTTAGGCAGCCAGGGGCCTGGCACTCTCTCTTCACCCTGCATCCCAGCGAGGACCTGGTGAAACGTGGTCCCTGCACGCACCTGGCACCTTGCAGTACAGTCGCCATGACCGCGGGACGCGCTGTCGCTGTCGGGCTGTAGGACGCGGTCCCCATGTTCTTGAACACACCTCCCATGGACAGGTGGGGTCTATGCTCCTTGTCCTCCATCCAGGCGAGCTGCTGGCGGCTCCGACCTACGGTGCCAGGTCAGGAAAGACAGAGGCTGCCACTGGTGGGGGCTGGGCTCTGGACACAGTCCCAGATGCTCCCCACTGCACGGCCAGACGTGGGTGCAGGAGCCCTGTGACTCCAGCCCCGGCTGCTCCCGCTGTGCGGCAGCCACATGTCCGCCTTCGGAAGCTGAGAGCGGGGAAAGTGGCTGTTGGATGCCTCTACCCACGGGCAGGTACGCAGGTGGGCGGGAGACACCCAGAACACGCACCGAGTCCTCTCCATCGCCAGG